GTTTACAAGGTACCATGATCTAGTGAATCGAACAGGCTGAGGTCAGGTGCCAGTTCTGCCACCAAGTGTGTGTGTGGCCCCACGGCAGCTCAACCCTTTGGCCTTGGTCTTATTTTTACATGGGCCGGGGCTGCATTTGCCCTTTCCAGTCTCCATGCTTTGTGGTTCAGCGTCTTCCTACTCTGGAGGCTCACTTTCTGGCGCTGCACCCTCCCCTGCAGTAGTGACAGCAGTGTGGCGAGCTGTCCCATGGCCCTCAGCGCAGCAGGACTCGGGGTGCCGTCCTGAACCCTCACTTCAGAGGCTTGAAACCTGTTGCGTGCCTGCGGGGCTGTGGGCGGTGGTTCCTCTGAGAAGTCCTCATTTGTCTGCACTCGGCTTCCTGTCTGGAGGGCCCAGGGGCTGGGTAGAGCTCCAAGAGACACATCTGTCCCATCGCTCACCCGACCCAAACCAGTACCTCCAGGGCAGCGCGGGGGAGAGCTGCGCTGTCTGTTCGTCTTGGCCAGTCAGCTCTCTTGAGACAGGTAGCTGGAAACTGCCCACAGCATCCCCGGTGGTGCCCCTGCCTGCCTGGGGCCATTCCTGCCTTGGTGGCTCCCAGCCCGAGGAGCCCAGCGTGGAGCTTCTACACTAGCACTGACGGGGCTGCGAGCTTGAGCCCCGTCTGCCGGCCAGGCTGGGGGACCGTGGGCAAGGCGGACAGCCCCGGTGTGCTGTCGTCCCTTTTCCAGGCAAACGGAGACTTCTGTAGCAGAGGAACTCCAGGAGTGTTTTGAGAAATAGCCTCCCCGCGGAAGTAGCCCCAACTCCACCGCCTCTGCTGGCTCTTTGTTCATGTACAGAGTGTGAGCCGCGTGTGGATGGGTGATGTATAAAATCGGTCCTGTTACTTTCCACAGTCTGTCTCTCTGTCCCCTCTGGTGGAAGCCAATGAAAACAGCCTGGGAATCTCACTGTAAATCCCACCCTCCGTAGAGCCTTCCCACCCCTCCCAACCCCTGTCCACAGGGTGCAGATGGTGTCCTCACGGGCAGAACTGGTCGGAGCCTCAATCGGAGGGAGAGAGTTACCAAGCATCAGGCAGAGGGGATGAAGCTGTTGGGCAGAGAAGAAAACACTGACCAACTAACTTCTCAGCCACTTAATCCAAATCATAATTCAGAGAAAGTGTGTGCTTTATCCATCTCTCTTTCAAACCAAACCGGAAACCGAGAGTTCTAATTCAAAAACAATAAACAAATTATTTTTGTAATCAGGTAAATAACGATGGGGGTAGTTTTCAGAAACCTGAACATAATCAGTTCATTTGAGAGAACACCCCCAAAGTTGCCTTGGATCATAACCCATCAAACAGACTTCTCAAATTTTGTTGCCAGGATGGGCAGAGGAGGTCAGGAGTAGGGAAGCGGGTGGTGGGAGGGGTCACACTGTCCCTGTCTGCTGCTGCTGCTGCCGCTGCTGACGGCCATGCACCTTGTCTGTTCAGGTCGGAGCTGGGGACCTGGACGGCTTCCAGGCGGACACAGAGGAGGAGGAGGAGGAGGAAGGCGACTGTGTGATCATGGACATCTCGGATGTTGGGGGTGAGAAGGGTCCCAAACCCTCCTCTTTTCCTTCAGGCTGGCAGGAAAGGGAAGAACGGTTACGGTCACTCTCCCGCTTGCCTCTTGTGACTAACGGGGACTGAGTGAGGAGGCCCTGGAAGGCGCTGGGCAGGCCGGTCTGATGGTGGTGCGGGCAATAGGCTCCAGCCCAGGCCCTGGGCCGCCTGCCCTGGTCTGAAAGCTGCATTTAGGAAACCACAGACCTGAAGGTTGGTGGTGATGAGCCGTGTCAGGGAGGGAGGGTCCGGGGTGGGGTACCGGCACTGGCGAGGGGCAGCCTCTGAACCAAGCTTCCCAGGGGCAGTGAGCCCCAGGCTGGCCATCCTCGGCAGCATGAGCTCCAGCAAGCCACTGGGCCTTGTTGCCCACTTTCCTCATCTTTGCCACGGGCTTCCCCTGCTCTGGAGGGTCAAGGGTAAAGCCACTGGAAAGTGCCACGGAAGCACACGGGCTCGAGGTGGACGCGGCTGAAGCTCTAGTGAGGAGCGGGCAGCCTGCCCGGCCCCACAGCGGACACGGCAGCTGAAGCTCCTCCCTTTCTTGCTTTGCAGACATCCAGGCCCCATGTGGAACAACTGGAGCTGGGGGGTCTGTGGGAATGAACACCAGTGAGAGCCTCGTGGCCTCCAGCTCACTCGGCCCCTCCTGAGCGCCCCGACTGGCCCGTGTATGTACGTAGAATGGTTAGGGTATTTTCAATGCCACTCAGATACTTGAAAGTCCCAATTCCTGTGTAAAGAGCACTTTGTCCTGCTTTGCAGACCTCCCTGGAAGTTTGGAAAGTTTTATATAGGATGCTTGATTAGTTCTTTTTGATATTTGTAAAAATTTCCCCCCCAAAGCTGCATATTATTCTGTCCCTTAATAAAGCATTATTGTGATGTGATGACCTGCACGGGGAAAGCCTGGTTGTGCTCTCTGGACCCCTGGCAGGCACTGTGATGAGATGCTTGTAAATAAATTGAAGCCTCTTGGGTGCGGCGTGGCACCCGGACCTGACATGGATCTGTATAAACTATTGTCTAGACTGACCTAGCATGTCTGTCATCTTTTCAAACACATCACTTCTGTGAGTGGTGCGTCCATTGCCCTGGGCCCGAGCCCGGCGCTCTGTGCCGTCGGGTGTCCGCTCCCCACCCCGCTGCCCCCTCCCTGCCACACGTAGACCTGTGGCATGTGTATAAAGCTTTACGCTTTGCAAAAGCACTGTTCCACCTCTTTGTTGTGAAATCCTCAACCTCCCCACTGACCTAGTTCAAGGTGAGGGCTTCTCGGCAGGTGGTTTACGCCGGTTAATCCCTCCTGCCCCTCGGGTAGGCGAGCAGAGGTATTCCCAACCTCCAGGAGCTGAATCCTGGCTTCCAGAACCGACCTCTGGGTCAGGCCACCCCTCAGGAGTGTTGAAGCTGAGCAGCGTGGAGCCAGCCACGGCGCTTGCTGAGCCCTGGCCTCTGAGGCCCTGGAGCAGCCCTCGGACGGGGCTGTGATAGGCCCCGCAGAGGTGTTCGAGCATGCTCTGAGGGCCTGGGGCAGCTGAGATTTTGGCAGAATTCACAGACTCCATCGGAACCGGGCTCCTGTCTGCCGGCCCTTAACATCATGCTGTCTTTGTTGCCGCTGTTCCCGAGAGAGAAGAGTCGGCTGACATCTCATTGTGAAGAATGGTTCAGTATTGACTGTGGATGCACCCGAGATAGAGCAACACGACCCCAGCCCCAGGGAGCTCGCCATGTGGTGGCCAGGTCCCTGCCGGGCCTGCCTCTCCTGGCAGCACCCCAATCCTCCTGGAGGGGTCCTATTCCTCTCCAGCTCCGCACGGGTGGGGCTGACAAGCACCTCAGTTGTGGGGTGAGGACCCTGGCCCCATCCAGGATGAGCTGCTGCAGGTGGGGTGCAGCTGAGTGCCGGCACAGGGAGAGGACACAGGTGTGACTCCACCTGTGATGTGACTACCTGCAGCGGTCACGTCGCCTTAAACCGTTTTAGTTGCCACCCGACAATTTGCAGTCGACTCCTGGTGGGAGTCGAGAGCAGGATGTGAGAGCAGGGTATCAAGCAGAGGCAGTGCTGGGTTCCAGAGATGAGGCGGCAAAGGAGGATGGGCCTGGGTCCTGCCCGCACGTGAGAACAGAGCTGCCGGCGGCCCAGGTGGGAGGCAAAGCGCGTGTGGCTGACGGGGTTACCAGGGAATTTTGTTTCAATCACATTTGGGGCCTGGATGCTTTAATCTCACAGTGGCCAGAGAACCAGCCACCACTGGCCTCTGTGAAGGCAAGGGTCCAGTAGGGGCCACAGCCCGGGGCCAGGCTGCGGGTGAGAGGGAGGGGATGATCCAGATGAGTGGTCAGGAGCAGGGGCTCAGTTGTCTCCCAGCAGAGGTGTGACCGGGGGCGAGTGCCCACACCCTCCAGGCCTTGGTCCCCGTCTGCGTTGGCTCCCCACGGCTGCTGCAGCAAACCGCCAGACTTGTTCTACTGGCAGTTCTTGGGGGCGGAAGTCCGACAAGGGCCTCGCTGGCTCAGAATCAGGTGTCAGCAGGGCTGGTTCCCGCTGGAAGCTCTAGGGGGGGTGTTTCTGTCCCTCTTCCAGCTGTTGGAGGCCAACCCGAATCCTTGGCACGTGGCCCCTTCCTCCACATCTCCCCATCCCTTCTGTTTTCCTCCACGCATTAGAACTCACTAGGTTAACCCAGGGCCACCTCCCGTCTCACCCTCAATCACAGGCCAAGTCCCTGTGTCACATAAAGTAACGCATTCACAGGTCCAGGGAGGAGGATGTGGACATCTGGGGGAGCTTGCCCCGTGGGGCCTGCAAGGCTCCGAGGCCCTGGGAAGCGCTCAGCAGGGCTGGCTCATCAGGCCGGTGGGGACGACAATTAGGAAGGTGCGGGAAGTGAAGAGCTCGCCTCGGACATGAGGGGCTCCTGGGTGCCCAGGTGGCCACGCGGTGTCACTTCACCGGGAGCCACGGCCGGGCCTCACCTGCTGGCGGCTCTGCAGAGCTGCCACCCTACGCCGCCTCCCACGGCTTCAACTCACCACCGGGAAACTAGTCAAACACCCTATTTATTCAGGTTTAGAATTTTACACACCCTGTCCTGACAGGCCCAGTGTCTCATTCCTGTGCCAGTCACCTCAGGGCTAGCCACAGCCACCGGGGCCACAGCACACGGGGACTGGGCCCGGGCTTCTCTAAGCAGGCTACTAGTGGCTGCCCCATCCAGGTGGCAGTCTCGGCACGCGTCCACAGGCCAACCAGCACCTCTCTCCGTGCCTGTGGTGCCCGTGGGCAGGAGGAGGTTCCGGAGGAGGCCCGGAGGCCCCGGAGTGGTGGGGGGACTGGGGACGAGGGGAATGTGAAGGAAGCAGGGAGAGAGCATGAGACAGACCCACAGGGGCTGAAGCCAGCCCTGCTTTTATTTCATTAGAGCTTCTTGATGGCCGACAGGAGCTCGGGTTTCAGGACAGATGAGTCTGGCTGGGCCCCCGCAGCCCTGATGTCTGCTAGCACGGCTGCATCCCATGAGAAGGTCAGGAGCGCCGAGGGCACCTGCAGTGGGGTAAGAAGCCTCAGCCTCGCTCTGGCCTTTATGTGACAGAGCTCCCGCTTCACGTTCAAATCTTCCTGCTGGAGCCGGGACTGCTCCCCGCCGCTGACAGCACACCCATGCACTCAGTCCATTCTCATATAACAGGGACTCCTCTGATGATGACCTGGGCTTGGGGACACCCCCGGGCCTGGCTGAAGCCAACCCAACATCAGGCAGCAGTCAGGACTTCCTGTCCAGGCCTCCCTGAATCAGGGTCTGACCACCCTCCAGTCCCCTCCTACACCCTCCCCAGTAATTCCTTGCGTTTTGAATGCCACCTTTGCTCTGCGCCACAGAGGACTCAACACACAAATGGGCACATTCCCATTTTGTAGACACAGAGAAGTTACTCAAGATCACATGGCAAGGAAGTGGAAAGGTGGGACTCACACCCAGGGAGCCTGGCCCCAGGACCCCTTCCCCTAACGCCACCCCCAGTTGAAGAGCATCCCCCTCCTCGGGGGTTTGTGCTGATTCAACAAGAACCCAGAGAACCCGGTTCCGCTGTGTGGGGAGCCCGTCACTCACCAGCCCACACTCATTGAAGGCCAGGTTCTCGTCCTCCAACAACTTCTGCCCTCCTAAGGCCAGCAGCTCAAAAGGCAGCCAGTCGATCAGCAAGGCCTCCCGGACAAACGCGTACAGTGCTGCCACCCGCTCCCGGGCATAGAAGGTCCCTGGCGGGGGGACAAGTGTGGCGCTGGAGCTCATGGGAGCCCCCCTGAGCCCTCGGCCTCCTCCCCTGGGACGAGCTCAGACCAGAGCAGCCTGCTCCTGCCGGCGCACAGCGGACCCGAGGCAGCATCACCAGCACCCAGCACGCACCCTGGAGGAGGCAGCCGTCGGGGAAGCGCACGCGCAGCAGCGTGTAGGTGTACTTGCGCATCTCCCTCTGCTCCTCCCGCTCGCGCATTGCCTTGGTCCGCAGCACGCTCAGCCGCTCCACGGCCTCTGACCGCAGCCGCTGCTCTCGCTTGAGCTCCTCCGCCGTTAGGCTGAAGAAGTCCGCAGGCAGGTCGAATTGGGAGGCCAGGGGCGAGGGCCGGAAGACCCGGCGCTGGCGGGCCAGTGTGGCCCGCACGGGTTCAGCGCGCAGCAGCTGCTCCTTGTGCTGCTCCAGGCTCTGGGGCTGGGCCAGGGCGGCCTCACTCAGCACGTAGAACTCCTCAGGGCCCTCTGGGACACGTGGGCATGTCACTCTGCCGTGGCAGGGAGACCCCCGAGCCGGGCCCCTCCCACCCCTGCCCCTGGGCTCAGCCACGGCCCTTCTCTTTTTCTCTTACCCTGGTCGGGGATCGGAAGCAGCACCTTCTGGAAGCCGATGGCCTCAAAAAACTCGTGGGTCCCTTCCAGGCAGTTAATGCGCTCCTGAGAGCGGAGCCAAGAGGTCATGCGGGACCCTTGAGGCCTCCTCGTGCCCCACCAGCCTCACTGCCCACCCCGCCCTTCTGGCCCAGAGTCCCCAGTCTCAGAGCGGCCGCTGCCCCTGGACAGGATGAACCCCCAAAGCTGTCTGCAGGGGTGAGCTCACAGAGGGCCTGGGATCCCAAAAGGTAAACACCAGGGTGAAGGAGACTGAAGAGCCAAAGGACAGCGGAGGCTGGGAGTCCCCAGAAGCAGGGGAGGCAGGCCCTGGGATGCTGGATGTGGGTGGGGACCCCTAGGAGAGAGCAGGGCCCCGCCAGCTGCACGGGTAGGGTACCACGGGCCAGAGTGCTAGGACCCTGCGATTTCTCCACAGAAACCAGAAGTCTGCGTTTGCGTGAAAAATCTCCCCAGTGCCGATGTGTTCCCAGCTAATTCAAAGAAAAATCGAGTCACGCCGTGGGTTGGTGGCGAGAGCAGACAGTGTACACATACTGTGCTCATCCTGCGCTCACGAAGCCCTCCCTCCCCGCCTGGCACCTTCTGCCCACCTCAACTCCCAAGCCCTGCAGGGGCCCTTCTGCAGCCGACTCTGGCCGCCACTGGCTGGCTGCAGCCCGGCTGCTCCCACTGCCAGCCTGGGTCCTGGGTGGCCTCACAGGCATGGCCACGCCGGCCACCCCAGGCTAAGTCACTCTGGTGGCAGCCCTCACCTGGAACACCTTGTTCTGAAGCTTGATCTTCCGGTACTTCTCCTCGTCGGGATGCAGGTGGATGTTGTCCAGGTACCTGGGGTGGACAGGGGAGAGCAGCTCAGAGCCACACCGGTTCGTGCTAAGAGTGACCCCCGGGAAGGCTGCCGTCACACCCTGTACACCCCATAGAGCCCAACCCCTGGTGCCCCCGACACTGGGCCTCCTCCTCGGTCCTGCCTCCCCCTGAGGGCACCAAGGAGCCACCGTGGTGGGGGTGGAGCAGGCAGAGCCAGAGCTGATGGGCCCCCAGAGCCGGCTTGAGGGTTGCTGAGCAACAGACTTCTGGCCCCGCCCCCGACCTGCTCGCATCAGAGGAGTTGGTGGTGGGTGAGACCCTGCCTGCTTCACGTTCTTCTGATGATCCCAAAGGGAAGCCAGGGTTGGAAACCCCCGACTCAGTAAACCTCTTCGTTCTAAACACTGGTAAGCTGAGGCCCAGAGAGGCCAAGCCCCTTCCCCAAGGGCGAGGGGGAGTGAAGGGTGGGGCCTGGCCTCACTCCCAGGGCCGTGCTCCCTCTGGGGCCCCTCAGCCGATCGTGATGGAGGCCCAGGAGCTGGCACCCGGGTGGGAGGGGGCCACCCACTCACCTGGCGATGGTGTCCACGCCCAGCTTCACCCGGTCCCGGTCCTTGTTGAACGTGTGGATCTTCATGATGGAGGCGGCCACTGGGTCGGTGGAGAAGTGCTGGGAGGAGGGAGGAAAGCTGAGTCAGAAAGCGTCCACCTCAGGGCCTGGAGGCCATGCCAGCCAAGCAGCCAGGTCTCAGCACTCAGGTGGCAGCAGTGACACAGGTGACAACAGTAAGAACTGTCTCACAGCAGGCCCTAGCGTGGGATGGAAGCAAACTCAACAGCAGAAAAAGGAGGAGGAAAGCCCTTTTGATGACTCCAGCCTGGGGCCTCGGCCCTGCCCTCACGTCTAGGGAAAAGGGGGAGATGGCAGCCCGGGTTACGCCACCCCTTGGATCGGCATGACACGGACCTTTGCCTACCGCTCTGGCTTTGGTGCCCAACGCCAGCACTGAGCGCCACCAAGGGCGCAGCAGCTGAGTGCCAGGGACCTGCCAGCCACTGCGGACCTGCCATCCCTCCTCATCCCCCATCCCTACGAGGGACATTCTAGAAACAGACGGAGGTGGTAGAGACAGGACACAAAAGAGGTCTGTGACCTGTGGCTGCCTGATCACTCCTGGGGGAGGCAAGATAGTGGAGACATCACTGACCGGTCCCCATGGGACCCTGCGAACAGCACCCCAGCGAGGAGAGGCTGAGAATGGAAAACTAAGGTGAGGGGCAAGACTGGGCAGCAGATCTGCTCACGCTCTGGACAGCCACTGCACACGGCCACACCGTGTGGTGGTTTCTCTGCAGCCCCAGAAAGTCACTAGTTACATGGCGAGTGGGGCTGACACCCGCGTCAGCCCCAAAGTCATTTGCTCTGCCTGGATAATGGTGGGGGTGGGGCCTCCCTGGCGGTCCAGTGGTTAAGACTCTGCGCTTCCACCGCAGGGGCCACGGGATCGATCCCTGGTTGGGGAAGTTCCACATGCCACAAGGTGTGGCCAAAAAGAAAAAAAAAAATGGTGGGGGTGAACAGCTGGGTCACCAGAGGCGATGAATCAAGAGCACAGAAGACCTGGCCCCCTCAGATCTACCCCTGGGCAGCCCTGCAGAAGCCCAGCCACAGCTCCTGGAAGGCAGCTGTGGGGCTTCCACCCTGCCCCAGCTACCTTCCCTCAGCTACACTGGGGTGAGCCTTCAGCAGCCACACTGTGTCACTTAGTTGTCTGATCTGAACTGGGCCAGCTCTCCTGGGAACTTCAAATTGGGACCCAGCCCAGTCTGCCAGTAAGTTGCCAGGGTAGGACAAAAATATGTGGAAGGGCAGAGAAATCGGGTCTGCAGAGAAGCAGCAGTAAGATGGGGGCATTCTCAGGACACGGCTGAGCCAGGCTGACCTCCCCCTACTCCAGCCTCCTCAGGACAAGCACACCCACCCACCCAGGGAAGAGCTGCAGCTCCAAACGCTGTTCTCAGATGTTCCCAGGCAGCCTGCAGCCTCGTTTAAATTAGGACCAGGGCGCACGAACGGACAAGGGGACAAAGGAACAGACACATCCAGAAAGGAACCGAATCCATGTAGGGACTTACTTTGTGATAATGGCAGATTTCACGGTGGCCAAAAGACAGGTGTTTCAATAAATGAGGATTGGGGAAAACTGGATAACTATCCGGAAAAAAAAAAGGAATAACACTAGCTCCACGCATCCTATTCTACACAGGTATAATTCTAGTGGGATCAAAGCTTTAATCATTAAACAAAGCAAACAACAAAAGACAAAACAGAAAAGCACTAGAAAAACCATGGAAGAGTTGTTTTAATCCTGAAGTGGGAAAGGCCTTCCTAAGTAGGTCACAAAACCCAGAAGCCATAAAATAAGACTGACACATTGAATTACATAGAGATTAAAAATTTCTACATGGCCATATGACCATAAGCCAACTCTAAAAAGTAAACAACTGGAGAAAAATATTCACAACTCAGATCATAGGCAAAAGGCTAGTTTTTCCTAATATGTAAAGAGTGCCTATAAATCGATAAGAAAAAAAAAGCCACCACCCAACACAAAAATGGGCAAAGGATGCATTCTCATATGAAAACACAGCCAACCTAAGCCTAAAAAAGGAAATGCAAACTAAAACTATGCTGAGATATTATTTTTACCAATCAGTTTGGGTAAAGACAAAAAATGTTTGGTAACCCACAGTGACAGTGGGGCACAGGGAAATGGGTATTTTCTCACACACTGCTGGGTGAGTGTGAATCAGGACAACCCACATGGAGGTTCATCTGGTGACAACTATCCAAAGCCCTACACGCTGTCCTCTGTCCCAGCAACTCTGCTTCTGGAATGGAGCCTACAGCTCTAAGTGATGTACAGACAAGGTTTTCATCATAAATATTGTCCTCACTAGCAAAAGACTGGAAACTTTCTACGTGCTTATCAACACGGGGTTGGTTAAAGAGTCAGGAAAGAATTTGCCATGAGTCATCACGCAGTCACTGTGGAGAATGCAGGCTTTCCAACCGCTCAGAAAAACAGGCGTGACAGAGCCAGTGGGGTAAAAATGTTAGCAACTGGCAAATGTGAGTAAGATGGGCAGAATGACATACATATCTGTGACCTGATCCCTGGAACCTGGGAGTATGTTATGGGTCAGGGGGTGTGGAGGTGACAGATGGAGTTAAGGCTGCTGATCAGTGGACCTTAAAATAGGGAGATTAGAGATTAGCTTGGATTAGCCAGGTGAGCCCAATGGAATCACAAGGGCCCTTAAAAGGGGGAAGAGAGAGACAGAGAGAGAAGCAGAGAGATGGCAGCTGGGAAAGACCTGGCCTGGCACCACTGGCTGTGAAGACAGAGAAGGAGCCATGGAGTACAGACAGCCTGACTCCCCCTAGGGCTCCCAGAAGGCACACTGCCCTGCGGCCAACTTGACTGTGGCCCCGTGAGACCCAAGTCCCACTTCTAATTTCCAGAATTATAAGAGGCATGCTGTCTGGAGGCACCAAGTTCGTAGTAATCTGTCAGAACAGTAATAGGACACTCCCACCCTGATTAAAGGATGTTCACGTGTTCTTTTTGTTCTCGCGATTTTTCTTTAGGTTTGAAATTATTTCCAGATACAGAGTTTTAAGGGGGAAAAAATGTGGAAGTTCTTTCTGCACTGATATAATACCTAGCAGTTTCGACGTCAGGCGTGAACGGTACATTACCTTTTACGTAAAACAAACACACAGCACGTGTGGCAGATATAGATGCATCGGTAGTTTGTACATATTTGGAGCATCTCTGAAAAGGGGCCTAGATTACTTACAGCTGCTGCCTCAGGGAGAATGGCCGCGAGGTGAGCGGGAGGCGGCTTTTCCCCGCCTACCCTTCTGTATCTTGAATTCTGTCCCTCAGGTAAGTATTCCCTCTTTAGAGAGGTTAGAACAGAACCACAGCATATGCTCTGTGCCACCCGGGCTCCTGGGGGGCGGCTCTTGCACCGGGTCCGGCACTCACCGAGAGAATGGCCTCTCTGATGCAGGCGTCCCGCTGGTCCTTCCTCAGGATGGCCCCTGTGAGGGGGCAGGTGAAGTACACTCCAGGCACTGCCAGGTGGGTCGAACCCTCCTCTTTGGGCTTGGGCACCTGTGAGGATGGGTGAGGGTGTCTGAGCCTAGACTGTGGACAGAGGCCACCCGAGCCGCCCAAGTGCCACAGTTCTGAGAGCGTGGCCCTGGGAGCCAGACATCCTGGTCCCAATGCTGTCCCCTCTGCCTATTAGCCATGGGACACTGTGGCCCAGTGGCCAAGCCCCTCTGAGCCTGTCTTCTGGTCTGTAAGATGTCCTCGAGGGACCACCTCAGAATTCAACAAGGTAAGGAACGGAGAGTGTGGAGCAGCTCCGGACACGGTGTAAGTGCTGAATTGATCGTTCCTGCTCTTCCCGCCCCCCTACCTGGTGAGGGAGGGGCTTTGGTGGGAGAGTGAGGAGTCACGGTGCCCTGGACGAGTCCCAGCCTTGCTCTGGGCCTCAATTCCTAGGTAATATCCAGGGTCCCTTCCATTCTGAAATTCAGTGAGGCCTCACAGGTGGTGCTGCGCAGAACACCCTTTCTGCCAAGTTCTCCTTTGAGGCCTGCCTCCTCCAGGAAGGCCTCCCTGACTACACCAGTCTCCATGGTGCCCTCCTGTATCCGAGGAGGGCAGCGGAGGGCAGTGCTAAGGCTAAGGGCTTTGGACTCAGATAGACTGGGGTTCCAGTCCTGCCCCTGCTGGTTTCGAAGTGCATGACCAAGGGCACCGGGCCTCACTTCTCTGAACCTCAGTTTTCTCTTCTGAAAAGTGGGAACTGTAACAGCACCTACCCTCATGGGGTTACAGGGGAGGGAGGGGACTTAACGGAGGTGCAGTCCCTCCCCCAGGGCCTGGGCCTGGTGTCATTAGATGCCAAGCACGCAGGTCCCAGATGACACCACCCTAAACCACAGGGATCCCCAGCATCCTGAGGCCAGAGATGACCTCGATCCACCCCGATGTCCCTTCTGCATCTCCCCACCCTCTCCAGCACCAGATGCTTACCGCCCAGGGCTGGGCACCAATCAGACCAAACACAGAAGAGAGCCCAAGCGGGCACTCTAAGGGCTCCCAGCTCCCCCGCCCGCCCCAGGCCACCCCTTGGGTGTCGTGCTGCCATCGTGATGCTTTTACCGGGTTGGTCCCTGGGGCCTCCGGGCTCCCACTGACAGTCGCTTCAGCTTGAAGTTCCTTTCTCACTGGAGGGAGAGGCAGGGACGGGTCAGTGTGTGAGCCAGGCACACCATTCCCCAGCATGGACCCTCGTGTGGGTCAAATTCTAGTCCTTCCAGCTCAAGGTCCTCCCAGCCCGCCAACCTCTCCAGGCCCCCAGGCTGCACCAGGCCACGTGCTCCCCCTCCTCCTCTGAGTCCCAACGCTCCCCTCCACAACCTCCCTGACATCCTCCCTGACATCCGTGCCGCCCAGACCACAGCAGCCCCCTTGGCCTTTCCACCTGCACGGCCCCTTTGTGGACTGGCTCACAGCTGTGATTTAAACCCTCCTCCCAACCCGAATCGCTGGCTATGAAATTATTTTCAGCCAGAGCCAAGCACAGGACCTGGAACGCATGAAAAGTCAAGGATCAGCCTCAAGGACAGAGGGGCAGAGGCCCGCTCCACCGCACCCCATCCCCACCCCCGTGGCCCAAGGACGGCCGAGGCTCACCCTGGCTCCGGATGGACTCCTGTGATGTGGGGCCCCGTGCCCTGGGCTGCTTCTGCTCGAGCCGGGCCAGGGCCGCCGCGGCCGCCATCTGCGCCTCATCGGTAGGTCCCTGGCGGGGCTGCCGGAGCGCCGGCTTGCTGGGCTTTTCTTTGGCGGCCTTCTCCCTAAGGAGATGTGGAGGGACCGTGAGGTGACGTGCGGGCAGACAGAAGAGCTCTTGTCCCAGCAGACAGATATGGGCCTCCGCCCCAGGGGCCACCACGGCCACCAGACGGGTCTAACGTAGATGGAGGAGCCTCGGGAGGCAGACGGTGACTCTGCTCCCCGCCTGCCTGCCACTTTGGACAAATCCTGCACCGGCCTGGGCCTCGGAGTCATCATCTGTCAGGCGAGGTAAGGGCACACCTACCGTCCACAGGGGCTGATGCTCTTCGCCCCCTTCCCTGAGCGAGAGGCTCCACCCTTACTGTCTACGAGGGTGAGACACGGAGGCTTCATCTACTGAGCGCCTACTGTGTGCCGGACAGTGGACCAGGAGCTAGCTGTCGCTCAGCGCGTCTATTACGCATGGCAACGTGCCTCCCAGCGAGCGCTCCAGATGCCCTTTCACAAGCCTCAGAGGGTCACGGAAGCTCGGGCAGCGGGTCAGGCCGCACGCAGGCCCTGCGTGGAGTGTGTTACAAGGATCTGGTTTAGGGACTTCCCTGTTGGTCCCGTGGTTAGGACTTGGTGCTCTCACTGCCGTGGGCTCGGGTTTCATCCCTGGTCAGGGAACTAAGATCCGGCATGCTGCGCAGCAAGGCCAAAAAAAACCCCAAACAAACAAAGATCTGGTTTAATCTCCCCTCCACCCTGGGAAGTAGGCAGGGTGATCATCCCACGGGACGGGCAGCTTCCTAACCCAACCTAGCTCGAGAACGACCTGGCCTTGACGTTCCAGCAGAGATGGGCTTCTTCCCACCAGGGTCTGACTCACCTGCCTCACCCTCCTCCTTTCCTCAGGACCCTCTCCCGATGCCAGTAGTTGGAATCATCTGTGCTATATATCTAGAACCTTCTCAGGAGCCAAGGCTCTGAGTTCATGGCTCTCATGCTTCCCGCTCTGCTCAGACACCCGGGGAGCCCTCTTTTCTTGTCCCCAGGCCTCTGGGAGCTTCCTGCCCATCCCAGCCCCTCTCTCCAGCCCTCCCAACAGCTGAGAGTTTCAGGTTGAAGAAAAGACAAGTCACGTAGTGCCACCCTAGCCCCGTCCTTCCATAAAAACGCCATTTTTCCAAGACCCCTCACTCACCCACTTCATGGCTCCTCTGGGCAGCCAGAGGGATCCTTCTAAAACCCAGTCACTCCTCTGCACAAAGCCCTCTCATCCCATGCAGGACAGGATCCTGCAGCCTCCGCATGCTACAGGCCCTTCACAACCTGCCCCTTTCCCTTGTTCACTCCTATCTAAACTCCCTGCTGTTCTTCACACAGACCCAACCTCCTATGACAGGACCTTTGCACTTTCTGTGCCTTCTGCCTGGAGTGTTCTGCCTGGGAGGGACAGGCACCGCTTCAACTGTGTGTGTGTGTGTGTGTGTGTGTGTGTGTGTGTGTGTGTGTGTGTGAGACAGAGACAGAGACAGAGAGACAGGGGTTGATTTCCGCACGGCTGAGTCTCACCTCATCCAGCTCTCGCTCAAAAGTCACCTTCTCACAGAGGCATTCCCAGACCACCTAACAGTCACCCACATGGCTCACTCTCTGGACCCTGTTTATTTTTCTTCAGGGCCGATCTTTCATCGTTTATGTATTGTTCTACCCGCCCACCTCTCCCCACTACAACGTGAGCCCTGAGAGGGCAGGGATTTTCATGCTGTAACAGTGCTGGACACACACCCTCGCACGCACCCTGAGTCTCCAGTTCGGCTCCAGGCACGTCACAGAAGCTTGGATCTCCATGTGACTCCCCTCTCCTGTCCTCCCCGGCCTCCAGTCTGACACAGCCATCAGCCCCCACCTCCTTACTGTCACACACAGTCCAGCTGCACCAGCCCCCCACCTCTACCCACTACTTGATGAACAAATGAATGGACCCCCTTGTCTGGCCCACGGCTCTCCCTGGGCCCCTCTTAAGGTGCCCTCCTCTCCCTGTCACCGCCCCAGGCTCCCAGGACCTGCACTTCCCTCCCGTACTCATGGATCTGACCCTCATGGGCCTCCTTTGTCCCACTACTCCTTTGTCCCCTCCCAAGAACCCCAGGGGCCCCCAATCCTTGTGACAGATGCCCTGATGTCCTTGCCACGCACCCACTCTCCCTCACCCACCCCCACTGCCTCATGATGCCCTCACCACCCCTTCCTGCCAGCCTGCCTGCCTCTTCTCCAACCCCCTCCCAGCCCTGACCTCTTCACAATCCCTTCCATTATGCCTCACAAAACCCTCCCCGGGCTGACCTCTTTCTTCAGTCACTCCCCATCCTAAACCCCCTCGGGTCCCCCAGCCCCCTCTGTAGCTCCTGGTAGCAGCCCCAGCCCCTCCTGAACTCCCTCTTCTCATCCCATCCCCCCCCAGTGGAGCCTCCTTCTCAGCCAACCGGCCCTCAGTCTGGCATCCTCACCTGCTCCAGCTCTTCACTATCCTCTGCACAGCACTGGCCCCTCACGCCTGCCCATGGAGTCTCCAGTGTGGCCCCAGGCCTTTCTCTTCTCCAAGTCCTCCCCAGATAAGTCACAGAGGCCTGGAAATGCAGGCCACCTCCCCTCCCTTCCCAGGTCACCCTCGGGACCTCCAGGCCACTCAGCCATCACCCACGAGGCCCCCCACCTCCTTCCGGTAGCAGACTCCCCCAGCTCCCCAGCTCCACCCACCTGCCTCCCTTCTCCTCCCAGACCTTCCTCAACCCCTCGCAGCACCCACCACCCAACCAGTTCACCCGCACCTCCCAAGTCCCTGACCACCCTTCCAACAACGCCTCAGGCTCCCCGGCCTTCCAGATCCTCCACCCGTCCTCCCTCCTGCTCCAGAACCAAGGCCCAGACCCCTATCGCCACAGAGTCTAAGCCTCACGACTTTTTGTGACCCCAGCTCTACCTGTTTCTCCAGGCTCAGTCCCCAATCTCTGGTCACCTAGATTCCCCCAAACCCTATGCGATGCCTCTTCAGGGCCCCTTCTCCGCATCCCCAGCCTCTCCCTTACCGCCCGCCCTAACCCCCTAGGGTCTCTCCAAGGACCCCCTCACTTCCTGCAGCCCCGCCCCTTCCAGCCTCGCCCCC